ATACGCTACAAGCGGAAGTTTGAAGGCTAAAAGAAGATGTTTCAAACGGAAACAAAACCATCACCCTCATAGCTGAAATAAGAAAACCCGCAAAGGTTTCAATGTCCGAGAATTAAAAAATAGAAATCCACAAACATCTTAAAGTTCTTTGAAATCGAGGAAATGAGTGCTCAATTGTCAGAACTCGAAAATTTTAATTTGAGCCTTTTCTGGGGTTGAATTGGGACGCCCGAAAACTAACCTTTTAAAGCAATAAATTTATTATTTAGGACGATTAAAAAATATCAAACAACGTTTTTAGAGGAATCCATCGGATTTAAGATTGGTCTTTTATGCATCCTTCGCGAAATGACATCCTCGACGATTCCCATGCATCATGGAACAATTTCAAAATATCGGCCGAACGGGTTTCCCAAACCACCTAAATAGCTGCCTGCTTTTATTTGTGTTTCCAGAATTTGGTGTTGGGTGCGCTTCTGCAAGTAGCCCACACCACATTCATGAATGGGTATACCCATCAGCTTAGCTTTGCTATTACCCTTTGTGGTGTGCTTGGCCGTTTCTTTAATTGTGTTTTTAGCTAACCCACTTTCGTGGCTCAAGACTCAACACGGTACTCTTCAGGTCCTTTCAAAATGGGATGGCATCAAATTTGCTATTTATCGCAGCTTTCCAAAGACAGTCGGGAGTGAATTAAAAGGTTGAGGCAGGGAATATACTCTTTTGGATTATCTTCTAAACTTGCATCGATATGATCTGTTTGAAAACCTTCTTACCTCGTTACCTTGAAATACGCATTTGCCTTGCTTCAGAATTTAGTGTTTTTGTTACCAAATTAATTCCACCTGCACTTTGATTCGATAGTCTGCCCACATTTGCAGCTTCCACCCGATGCAGCCTCGAAACCAAGTGTCCCCTCCACGATTCCATTTATTACGACATAAAGCATAGTAATCTTAACCCTAACCCTAAATTAAATGGTTTACTACTATAGTGTGGGTCCACTCAAAGCAAAGATCAGGATGAGGGCATGCTAGCAAAGTCATCGCCGCGGATCTTCTTGATCAATTCAGACATTGAAAGCAAAGTTTTGGAAAGGATTTCTTTAAATTTCTCTGTATCGGCATTGAGCGAGGAGCGAGAAGAAACTCCAACGTAAATATGGCCGTCATATATAGAATAGGGCAACCCAAAGCCGTCATCGACAACCTCACCATAGCCCCAGGCATCATTGTGATCAGCTGTGATTTGGGAAGTGGACAAAACCCATTTTTGCGAATTCATGAATAACTCGTTTTGAAACAGCTTTGGTCTCAGGTGCTTATTATTCTCGGCAATCAAGGATAATCCAAGAAGGTGTCGGTCGATCCCATTCCCGGTCCCGACTTCACGAGCAAATTTAAAATGCAATTTGATTGCATTTTCTAGCAGGGAAAACTTATGTGTTGATTCTACCGATGGGTTATCCATGGCAAGGATCCATTCCGCCGTCTCTAGAGAGGGAGATCGAACCACATCTGTTCTTCCAAAAGCGAAGGCTCGGGTTTGAGCAGCTTCGTATGATGCAGCTAATTTTCCAGAAAATCTATAATAGGCCAGCTGAAAGGCCATCTGCATGAAGCTATCTGGAGATAGATTCCATTTTTTGATATCTGATTTGCCAAAATGCTCGAACAATAGGCATGAAAAAAGATGAACTTTCCGATGCTCCTCAAAAGAGAATTTGGCTTTATTGAGAAGCTGGGTGATAGATTCATTGATGTCCCAGGTGAAAGGCCCGTGGGGCTCTTTCTTAAAAGTCTCTGTGGAACGTCTAGCCAAAGGGAAAGAGGGAAATCTAGGCTAATGTACACCAAATAATACTCTTTGACCATTTCAGAGCATAGCCGGTTTGTTATGGTTCCATCCATCATTGAATGTTCGCCAAGAAGACCGGCGTGGCCGTTTTGCGAAACGATAAACTGAATGGACTTGTCGAAAAATCTATTTTGACCATTTCCGTGCCATAGGGAGTGGCATCGCTAATTTATAAGAAAATCTCTCAAACCTCCTCAAGACTCTGCGGAGACGTATCATCCAAACACAATACGCACGATGCAGTGCGGATGATTTCAAGATTTTCTCGGTTTTTTACAGAAGCTTTTTCTAAAAGAGATATGCCCTAAGACCAAATTAAATGAAGCCATCTACCTCAGTTGCTGAATCCCGTTCGACAGCAGTGAAAATTCCGATGTTTGGAATATCTCCAGCGTTGTCTTTGTGGTTGGAAACAATTGCAAATAAATCGCTAGGGATCAAAAATAGAATGTACCCTTCAATTTCAGCCAGGGAGCGCATCAAAGTACCAGATCGATTATATCCCTCGATTTTATAGTAGGCATTTTTATAAAGGACAACTAGATGGCTGTTTTTCTTCAAATCGAATACCAGTGTGGTATCATAGGGTTTCCTCGGGATCCTGCAAGCGTTGAACACATATTTGTACATGTGRGAGCAAAGCTGTGCAGAACCAAGTCGATCCGGTTCCAAAGATCCACACATTATCTTTTCCTTCATTTTAATAGCTGCAGAGGCAAGAAGAGCGGCAATGCGACATTGCCTTTCAACGTCAGTGTTTGTGCCAGATAAAAAGGGAGAAAAGATTTGGTCCTTAAAGGCGTAAAAATAGCTAACATAAAAGGCCAATGGAGATCGATCTCTAAGATAGGCATAATCATTCCACCACTCATAAAACCATCCAAAAGAAGTTTTCTTTTCACCTGCCCGAGCTTCAAGAAGGGCTTGCAAAATGGGGCCTTCTTTATTTTCAAATTCCGCGATAAGAGCGTCAACTTCTGATGTGGATTTTCCGCTGCCGATTTCAAGAGCCCTAATGAATCCCTTTAATTTTGACAATGTCGAATGGAGAGCTGGGATCGGCAAAGGGTTAATTTGAGATTGCGATCTGAAAAGTGGCGAATCGTTGATTTCCGTAGAGGAGGGAAACCCTTCAGGAAAAGTGGTATTTGTAGCAGCGTCAGTATTTTTTTTAGAAGAATCCGGATCCATTTTTCTTTTCAAATTATTTCCTTCAGTTGAATTTTCATTAGTTCCTGTAGAGTTCCCCGTATAAATAGTTGAAACATCAGTCTTTACAGGTTTAAACCCCATTTCATTTACATCGGAATAAAGATCACTTTGTATTTTCTGTGTATAACCAAGTTGTAATGAGGGGAGAACGATAATAGCAATAAAAGCTACAAGAAATAGAAGTTTTCGAACCTGCATCTAAGTGGACAGCTTTTTGAAAAAGCAGCTAACATTTTATAAACGGTTTTGCACCGAAAATTTTGCATCAAATGGGAATATTAAATTCAATAGTTGCCCAAATCGCCATTTAGGCCCGGAAATTTTAATTACTAGGTCATCCCACTGCACTTCGTTGACCAAATAGTTACTTGTATTTATGGTGATTGAAAAAATAGAAGGTAACCCAATCAAACACAAAAACAGTTGATTTCTGATACGATCAGCTAGGGCAGAAGTGGCTGTTCCATCGATAATTCGCCTATCTTGCCAACAAAGCACATAACTCGATTTTCGGCATTCTTTCCAGAATGGATTCAATGTATTTCCAAAAACTCTTCTACAATATCCTATCAAATGAATATCATTGTGATTGGGGCTGATATTTCTGACGTTATTCACCATGGAAATATTCGCGTCAGATAATGATCTTACCAGAACAACATGTAAACCTCCTGTTTGATCGCTCGAGCTTTCTTGGAATTCACCAATTTTCTGCCACTGGCACAAGATATGGCAGATCAAAGCAAATAATGTACTTTTATTAAAAATCGCGTCATTAACCCTTTAAAAGAACCCAGAGCACGGTAGAGATATCAAAATAATGTGATGGTGTGGGAAGCCTTTTCAATTGAAGAAAATTAGAATTCCAAGCTTGGAAAGGAAAAGAAAGCTTTCCGGGTGTGGCTAAGCCGGTGAAGCTTGAATTTCCTGTCTTTTGTGGCAAGCAGATGCTCAAAAGAGTGATCAAAGGATTTCATTGGCATCAAGGAATGCGAGCAGTCTTGATTGATGTCAAAAGAAAAGGGAGAAAAGATCGATAAAAGCTTGGCAAGTTTCATGCCTTGGCTGTAAATTTCCTGAATAATCGCATATAAATTGAAGGCCACTAAATATCCGAGTTCTCATCCTTTAGCTTGCTCAACAATTCATTGAAATTTTGCAATAAAGTTTATTTCTGTTCATGTTTTCTTATTGGTGGCATGGTAACCCTAACTAAACTGACCCAAGCAACCAACTAAAGTACCTTTTCATATAATTTACTACACCCTTTTCAACCGATCCAAATTCACCCATATTGCAGTTTGTCCGCCGTTTGGAGCGCTGCGCATGTTTTTCTTGCGTTTGACGGACATTCCCAATCTTTTAATGTGATTTCTATCTGTTTTCGACACAAAAATTTTTTCGACATTTTAAGCGTGGAATGGTTGGAGAGCGGTCGATGAAATATTTGATATTTACTGATGCCTAAATAAAATCAATCGAGCTCCATTAAAATCTGATATTCAGGCTCAGATTGCCATCAGATGTGTCGGAACCTGTGCCAAACTAACGCTAACGCTAACTTAAATAATTAAAATTCCAGATTTTGATTGCCCATCTCATAACTTTTATTGCCATTCTCGTTTTGCGTTCATTACAATTTAAAACAGATAAAAATTTAATGATTTAAAAGATTCACTAATTGAACAAAGGGAAAAAGGGCTCAACTCATACACAGAGAAAGGCACTGTTAGATTCACAAAAAACCCTCATCCTTACTGGCAGAAAAAAAGATATAAAAGAACATAAGAAATATATAGAAAAATTTAAGAGAGATATGGAAAATCTAAGAATGAAAACAATGGAAGAAGAGAAGCAACAGAAACAGCGGAAAGAAGAGGAGCAAGAGGAGCAAGAGGAGCAAGAGGAGCAAGGAAAGAAGAGGAAGATAAACTTGAACTACTAAGAAGCCAATGATCGCCCAAAATAATCAAGCCATCGAAAAATATTAAAAAATGGGTTAAGAAGAGCTCAACACGATTCACTAGCTCGGGCAGCTTTATTAATTCTATCAGATCTACCAGATGAAATATTTCGGAAAATTCTATCAAATCCACTAGTTCTAAAAGCTCCACTAGCTCAGATAGTTGTATCAGTTCTAACAAAAGAGCTAATTATACCACTTGTATCAGTTCTACCAGCTGAAATAGTTCAGGTGGTTCAATTATTTGCGATAGATCCATCAGCTCGACTGGTTACGCTAGATTAATCACTTTCATCAGATCTATCACTTCCATCGGATATATTTTCGTGAGTTTTTACTTCGACTCTCAACAGGTTGATAACCCCAATTTTCTCGTTCTTCCTTTTACGAGAATGCTAAAACGGGCGTTGAGTTTGCTCTCAACACTATCAACACAGTTTTTATTAAATAGGGCTTACTAGGCATACTCTGTTTGAATGTGTTTATCTGATTCACTTGGGATCACAAACCTGTTTACAGGCTTCTCACATCTCCACATTGGTGCACTAAAAGCTTACAAAATTAAAGTGCTTCAAAATCTTGATCATTCGTCTACTTTGACAGATGCTCACAAAAACTTTCTTACTTTTAGTCCTTTTTTGTCTCAGTCTCTTTTGTTTCCTCTAGGGTTTCTTCTGGTCTCTGAACCCAAGGGTCCTAAAATCGGTGCTTCTAGTCTCTAAACATAAAGGTTTTGAAATCGGTGCTTCTGGTCTCTGAACACAAAGGTTCTAAAATCGATGCTTCTGCTCCTGTTTGGGGCGGGATATCCATAAAAATGGAATGGGGACCCAAAACCCAAAATAGCACCTTTTTAATGAGCTATTTAGGGTTTTGGGCAATTGCTAGCCTTTTTGCTGAAAAAAGTTTCACATGCTTCGAACACTTATTTGGAGATGGAGCTCTGAAAAACACCATTTTGAAACCCTCGATGTCAATTTCTATTTTTTTATTTTCTGCAGATACCCTGTGGTCCTTTTATACCAATAAGAAATTGTCTGGATTAAGTTGGTCTGCAAAAAAGTTCTTGGTACATCCTATTCGAGGATATTAGAGCGGTTTATTTGCCAAATTATCTTTTCCCATATATTTCGGCATTTTAGGGATTGACACTATCGGGGCTGCATTGATGGTGTTCTTTAATTTCATGTCTTCGAAAACTTTTGCTTCCGAAGTGATTCGTAGTATCTTTTTCTTTTTATTGCAGAAATACGCTCCTGGATCAAACAAGAAAAAAGGGATTCAATCAAGCGAAAAGCAGGAACTTTTGAGGAAAGAAACAGAAAACTCCAACCGCAGGCTGAAAAAAAAGAGAAAACAAACTTGCACTACTAAAAATACTGGCGAGCCATAAAAACAACCAATAAATTCAGTTTTTAAAACCGTTGGGCAATAAACCCATACGAAGGTTCTCCTTCTTTGGGAGCACTGGTCTAAACTTATGCTGGCCACTACACAAATATATTAGTGAAGTGGAGCAACACTAAGCCCTGCAACCTAATAGACTTTAAGAGACAGTTATCAAAGACCAGAAGGATACTTACTATGGCTAAAATCCGGTCTTGTCTTGTATGATCTGACTGTTAATGGCAATAGTCCCATGGTAAAGCTCAAATCACAAGCTAGCTTATCCACGAATACTTTTTCAGTGGTAAATGGCATTCTTAGGTTTCAGATGTGTGATTAATTAATTGGTTGCGATTTACCCACTTATTACAAATTTTAAAAAAAGTTGCGCGGAATGCAACATCAAACGATGAGGTTTTATTTTAAACTCCGGATGATCTTCTCCATTCATATTTTGGCTCTGCTATTTCTAACCCTATATAATATTTCTGCAGCTACAATTGAAGACGATTTTTCTCCTAAAGTTCCTGCGAAAACAACAGATCAAACTGAGGAAGTGAATCTAGAGTATTTCATAAAAGGAACTTTTACTGAAGTAAGCTTCTCCGGACGGAGTACGATATATTTGGCATCCCTTGTTAGAGATGAAAGATCGCTTGATCAAAATCACAGATACGCACTAAAATCTATCAAAATGACGAAATCTCAGAAAGAAAAGCTAATGTGTGTAATAACGGAAGATTTTCTTATTAAAGAGATTCCGGTAAATTACAAACCACCTTTTATTGAAAGGGAATTTTCGATTCAAAGCAAAGTTGAACATAAAAACGTTGTTCCTGTTTACCATATGGATGGGAATATGATATTTATGGAATATGTAAAGGGTTGCGCTTTATTTGCTATCCCTCAATCTTGGAATGGAAATTTAAAGATATTTGCGTATATTTTCAAAGAAATTGCAGAAGGTATTAAATTTATGCATGAAAAAGGCATTGTGCATGGGGACTTGAAGCCTGATAATATTTTGGTATCAAAAAAAGGGGATGTTAAAATCTGCGATTTTGGTGGCGCTGTGGAGATCAGCAGAGTTAATGCAAAAGGGCGAGAAGGAACAAAAGGGCCAGAAGGAACAACTTTAGAGGAAACTCCCTATTCAACTGGGGAGTATAAGTTTACTTTTATGCAAAAATATGTTGCGCCAGAGTTTATCGACCCAGAATCTGTGGTTCCAAAAAGCGTGAAGGACGTACTTATCAGCAAAATAGGGGTCACACAAGAATGGATTGCATTAACCGAGGGAAAGTTGAAACTTTGCATTAAAGGTAACGTCTTTCCCACCAAAGAATCAGATGTCTTCTTGTTTGGAGCTACTTTTGTTAGCATGCTTAGAACTAGAGATGCAGCCAGACTCGACCGTAATTATTTTTCTTTTCAAAATGACGGAGAAGAAGTGGATAAAAAAAGCCGGAAAAATATGAGGATATCTTAAGGTTAATAGAAAAATTTGATCGCAACTTGGCTAAAATCATTGACCAGGCTCTTGATCCATCTCCTCAGGAAAGACCTACTATTGAAAAAGTGCTCGAATGTCTCGAAAAGGTACCTTGTTGCACCAAAGATGAATTCAAGATTTTTGCTGCAGGCGCTAAAGAGTTTAAAGTTGCTCCTTATAGAAAAAAAAGGCCTCAAAACCATCGAGGAAGTCAACAAATTCCAGAAAAAATGCGACTAATCAGTAAGGCATAGAAAGTAATTTAAGAAAAAACATGAAAACAAAAAGCAAACAGCGAAAGGAAGAAAATACTATTTGTGAATAAATTGTCCCTTCAGGTGTCTGAGATAAAAATTGACTCGAAATACCAAATTCTCTTTTAGAGAATGCCTAAAATCAAGTGGTTCGTCTGGAACTGAATTAGCGGTTTCGAGGGATTGTTAGCAGATAAATCTAATTGCCATGGTTGATCAGCCGCTGCATAAATTTAGCACCAAAGCACTCTTTCATATTCGACCAAGTAAAATTGTTCGCCATCATACTCGATTTGTTATTGACCAGTGTATATTTGGTGCCCAAGTTGGTATAGATCTTGTTTAAGCCCAATCATAGAATTAAACAACCAGCCCTAAGCTACACGACAACCTAACTTTAAATATATACTCGGCCACTCTAGACTTGTCTATTATCGAAATACTGTCTTCCTGGAGGTTTGCAACTTTTTCACCAAAAGATCTAGAGCATATTCAACAGCATATGGAACGAGAATAGAAGCGCAAAGCSAAAGAACCCCTGTTCTAGATGGCTTTATGGCTGCTCWAATGAAAACCGTATCTGCCAACTCGAAGCCTATTTCAAGCGTTTTCTCATCTCAGCTATTGCCTTTAATTARGAGAACCACATCTATGTTCTTTTTGCGTTCAGAAAAATCCACATCAGCCTATCAATAGAGTTTGGATGGCTCATGTTTAAGTGAAGGCCGAAATATGCAGTCAAACAGTATTTATTTCAAATTAGTGTGATTATTTCTGCTTATCCGTGACATTACTTTTGAAATAGGAAGAAAGAAAGGATGCAAACTCTTTATAAGAAAGTTTCTGAATTTGACTCGATTTTCCTATGCGCATTGACATGCACACTTGAACTGATGCCCTCTTTTCCGTGATTTTCCCTTCATTTTTGTGTTGAAAATTGTGGCGTTTCCAGTTTTGATGATTT